TTTGGTACCGGGGATCAAACTCGGGTCCTTGCGCTTGCGCAGCAGGCAGTGAAACCACTGAGCTCAGTCCCCAGCCCTATTCACTTTTAAATATACTTTACTTTTTTTTTTTTTGGTACCAGGGCTCGAACTCAGGACCTTGCGCTTGCGAGGCAGGCAGCAGAACCACTGAGCTAAATTCCCAGCCCCTATACTTTACTTTTTAAAGAGCAGTTTTAAGTTCACAGCAAAATCAAACAGATACAAAGTTTCCATATGCACCTTGCCCCCATGCATATGAACAGTGTCCCTACTATCAACATATGGCCCCTAGCCAGGCGTGGGGGCACACGCCTGTAATCTCAGCACTCAGGAGGATCACTGCAAGTATGAGGCCAGCCTGAACAACATAGGGAGACCCTGCCTCAAAAAAAAAAAAAAAAAAATCCAGCACCTACTTGTTCTAAGTGGTGGCTTTTCATTGACACAGCATTACGGAAAGTTTGTTTACATTAGAATTCACTCTTTTTTTTTTTTGTACCAAGGATCAAACTCAGGACCTTACACCCAAGTGTAAGGCAGGCAGCGAAACCACTGAGCTAAATCCCTGGCTAGAATTCACTTTTTTTTTTTCTGGTACTGGGGATCGAACTCAGAACCTTGTGCTTGTGAGGCAGGCGGCGTAATCACTGAGCTAAATCCCCAGCCCTAGAATTCACTCTTGATATTGCACGTTCTGTAAGTTTTCACAAATGTATAATGACATATATACCTTACAGTATCATACAGAGTAGTTTCACTGCCCTGACTGCCCTGTAAATTCTTTGTGCTTTACCAATTTATTTTTACCTCCTTGCAACCCCTGGGAAACCACTAATCTCTACTGCTTCCATGATTTTAACTTTCCCAGACATCATATACTTATCACACAGATTCAGCTTATTCAGGGGTTTGTTGACTGGGGTTTGTGCTCACAAGCTACATTCCCAGCACCTTTTATTTTTTCAGACAAGGTCTCTCTAAATTGCTTAGGCTGGCCTCAAACTTGCAATCCCTGTCTCGGCCTCCTAAGTGGCTGGGATTACAGGAATGTGCCACCATACTCAGCTTCAGAGTGGCATCTCTCACTTAAGTATATGCATTTAAGATTCCTCCATGACTCTTCATGGCTTAATAGCTTATTTCTTGTAAGTGCTGAACAATATCCTATTGTCTGGATATACTACAGTTTCTTCATCCATTTACCTACAAAAGGGACATCTTGGTTGTTTTCAAGTTTTGGCAATTATGAACAAAGATGCTATAAACATCTGTATATAGGTTTATGTGTGTAGCTAAGTTTTCAACTCATTTGAGTTACTAGCAAAGAGTAAAATTGCTGGGTCATATGTAAGACTGCTTAGTTTGGTAAGAAACTTCCAAACTATCTTCCAAAGAGACCGTACCATTTTGCATTCGCATCAGCAATAAGTGAGAGCTGATGCTGCTCTACAACATCATCAGCATTTGGTGGTGTCAAGGTTCAAGATATGACCATTTTAGTAGCACTCCACCACTGAGGTACAACCACAGCCCCAAATTCTTTATTTCTTCAACCTGCAAAACATCTTAATATCAAGTCAGAATTTCAGACCGGGGCATGGTGGCGCACGCCTATAATTTCAGCACAGTGGGAAACTCAGGTAGGAAGATTACAAGTCTGAGCCCAGCCAGGGCAATTTAGCAACTTTGCAAAACCTAACTCAGGAGGGGAATGGGATAAAATAAAATAAAAGTTATTTAAAAAAAAAACAGAACAGAACCTGACTCAAAAAAATAAAATACTGTGAAATAAAAATAAAGGGCTGGGGATAAAACTCAGTGTAAAGATCCTGTGTTAAATCCCCAGTAACACATACACACATGCATGTGCATGCACACACACACACACACACACACAAAGAGAAAATATTCATTCTCTGTTAGAAATAATAATAATCTAATCAATCACAATCACTCAATTCAGTCCTTTTAGCTGTTCTTCCTGTAAATTTCACAAAATTAGTGTGGTACAGCATCTTCATTATTTTTATAGTAATAAACATCTAAAATTTA